AAAGTAAAAAAATACCGAAAATGCCATTTAAAAATTAAAAGCTGTAGTCATTGCCGGTGAAACAGGAAGTGGCCAAAAACAATTGAATACAATCAATCCTAATTTATGTCATATTATGACATACTAAATCTCGTTTTTTCATCCAAAAAAAATAAAAAAGTTATTGGGGTGAGCCACTTTTGAGACGCACCCGGTATAATAATAGTAGTTGAAGAAGTTGGCGATTTTAAAAGATAAATTTATAATTAATAAGTAAATTTACTATGAAATACACATTTTTACATAAATTCACAAAGATAAATGTAAAGATATATTATATTATATTTAATGTAAAGATATATTATAACATATTTGCATACATGCCACAAATTAGCCATACAGCGATTTAAAAAAAAAATTGTTGTAAAAGTATAGAACGGATGGTAAATTTACTACCATAATCTGTGGCAAGAAATAACCATCAATATTGTTATTAAATTCACAAGTAATTTTTTTCAGTGTATGCGCGTTACGCGTTAATGTATTCTTTAGTCATTGATCATTAAGTTCATCAGATCATTCGGACAGTCAGTCATCCGTAATCCGTACTATAGGATGGGCAAGAAAACTCGCACTTCACTTCCCTGTTAGGCGGTCCGAACCCATACAGCCACGGTACGTACTATGTACGTACCTGGTACGTAATGATGGGACGAACGTCAAGTTTCTAGTACGTACAAGTACGGACAGGTATGTACTATGTACGTACTAGAGACGTACATTTTCCAACGCTTTGTACGTCCCCGATACGTCCCTGGGATGTGGTAAAGTACGTACTATGTACGTCGCATGTACGTACATTTTATGTTTTGTTCCGGACCAAAACTGGATGTAAAATAATCGAAAGTACGTACAATGTAAATGTAAATATTTTTAGTAGTATTATTTACAGTCTAGTCTCATAGTTAAGTTAGAGTCACTTAAGTTTAACGAGTTATAGCATATTTGAAGTTCATGGTAGTTGCACTCAACAGTTCGAGGTTAGTGTTGAAGTCTACTTAATAGTTACATCTTTTCACTTCATTATTCTGTTCAGTCAGACAGTTCAGTGCTGTTTTTGTTTTTATAAAAAAAACTTAATTAAAATGGGACATAAGAAAGGTACATATAAAACTAAATTTAAATATACGTCGACATATATTACCGATAGTTTATCCACTCCCTCGTTTATTTAGATTATAGAGGGCGGCACAAGCTAGACTCTAGGATGACTAAATTAGGCAATCTTGCGACTAGTATACTACCTGTTAAGGCCGAACTGCGACTTTATTAGTCCAGTATGCCACTACTCGAACTACTTCATCTTAATCTCAAACACAACAAAGTTAAAGCCGCCATGTTGTTAAATGAAAAAATGTTTCGTTCCTAAAATAGCAATTCCTGCTTTTTGAATACATTAACTTGAAATATTTGACCCTAAAAAACACGCGGAAACAATTTTTTCGACTGCGAATAAACTATTCTCATTTTACTAAAAAAAAATCAAGAAAATTTTTAAAACTTCTTTAATATTAAGGCCCAATAAAGTTGTTTGCGATTAACTTTTTTGCCTTGGGTAACGAGTTACAGAGTCGGTTAAAGTGTTTCAATAGTTATGATCTTCAAACATCCTCCACACTTAAATACTTTTGTTTTGTTTTCCTTCACTGCCATCTGACATATGTCTCTAACTATCATAAAAATAATATTTTTACTATAATTATCCCAATTTAGGATAAAACGCGACTTAGACGCCATATTAGTTTTGTATTTCTGTGAATTTTAAACAGGATTTTAAACAACGTTGCAGTTTGTACTAAGTTAGGCTTCTAGCTAACGTCGGTATCCAACGTCGTTTCGACCCAAAAATTATTAGTACTAACTAGTGCAGACTAGGGTGCCGACGTTGCGCCCCGACGTTTGGTCGCGTGACACAACGTGCGTGACACAACGTTGTCCCGACGTCCAAATGCTGCTTGGGGGACTGCATAATTTTCCTGTTTGGCTTGATTGCATAATATGTTGCATTTTTAACCTATCAGATTTCTTCAAAGGCTGAGATGCATTATGGTCACTGGATAATTTAGGAAATAATTGTTTATAGCGGTCGGGTTGGATTTATTAATAAAAGAAGTAGAGGTAGGTTAAGTGTGACTTGAATTAACGTTAGCCTAGAAAATATCCACTGATCCAGTCCATTCATTTTTGTTGGGTATATCTGACCAAAATAATCCAGTCATGATATTAAAATTAAATTTTAATATTATAAATAAACATTTTGTAATGCGTTGTCAAAAATTTTCAAGATATGTACGTAGTACGTACTCGCATGTACGTCAGTAGTGAAGTCCTACAATGTACGTAAATAGTACATACATGGGGCACGTACTATATACGTACACTTTTGTACGTACATAGTACGTCGCTAATTGGTCCCGGGGCGTACCGACGTGAAATGGACATAAAATGTACGTCCCTGATGGGACGAAGTGTGCTGTATGGCAACAGCTACTTATAAATAAACTATTAAAATCATTTTTAATTTAAATATTAATTTTACAAACAAAAACTGTGCTTACAATATACTTTCCTTAAAACATTTATTTTTCACTTAATTTTCCATTGCCAGTGGAAGGGTAGCGGAGAGGACTCGCGGCACCGTAGCGTGACGGTGCGCCCTCTATACCCGGAGCCCAATAAATCATCCGCCAGATGGCATATTTTAGCATTTCTAATGTCGCCGTTGCACTGACAACTAAGATATATCGATAATATATGCACTTAAAAATCGGGACCGGCGCAAAACGACAAAGGGGCTGCCGATATATCGGAATAAATATAACGGAGGACGTTTTATAAATAAACATCGATTTTCGACTTCCAGACGGTCGTTCTGCGTCCCTCCCGTTCGCCGTAATTACAAATTGAAAAGAGTCTAATGTAGTCTTTAAATTAGCCCTAAATCATTTGCAGAATGTGTGGGAATTTGACGAGCCGCCGATTAGCACACAAAGCGAATTCTTCGGGAGCTTAAATTGGGCCGCGGAGCGGAATGCGAATCGCTTCGATCGGAAACGAACAACGACGAAGATGGAAACGTTTTTGGAGCGGGGTGCGACGGGGGGAAAATATGGCACTTATTCGGCTTAATATGTTGTCACGCGTTATTAAAGCCATTTTCATGCACGACCAACACTCCAAATAAAGATTTTGTCCGCGTTTAAAGTAAATGTTTTGCGATCAAATGATGGTCCGGGCTGGGTGCAATATGGCATATATTCATCTTAGTATGTGGTTACATTTTATTCAGGCAACTTTTATGCACGACAATGCTACAAATAAGGCCTACAGCTTACATTAACGCGTATAGCCCTGAATCATACCGAACATTTTTGAGCAGCAAAACCGCAGGAGCTGAAATTTCTTTTTACAAGTTTTTATTTAACTTGTACTGGGTACAGTCGATATTACGGACAGTAAATATGTAAAATTTGCTATACAGATTTAGTAAAAATATTTCATTACAATTGGTGCTACAAATTCATAGTACGAGCATTGGTATGTCGATAACCGTAATAGATACGAACATGGTTAAATCGGATGTTTTCTTTTCTGATTTATTTATTAATGACCTCAAAACAGTACAATAACTGGCACCGAAGCCTAAATACAATTTTTATAAATATATCTAAAACTGTAACAAGTGAGATTATACAATAGCAATTTCAAAAATAGGAAGTCACATTATAACAATTTTATATCTATAAGTTCAATTTATAACAAAGTTTCATTACTGTTTGGTTTTGTAAAAGTCTTTTAATTGTTTACTTAGTTTTGTGCGTTCTTCATTTTGGATTGTAGTTGGAAGATCATTAAATGTTTGGACACTTCTGTATACTGGAGAGTCTTGACATGTTTTTGTAGCACTATACCTATTTCTGTATGTCCCTCTAGTTCTTGTATTATATGAGTGATAGTCACTGCTTTTATTTAATGCAACATTTGTTTTAATAAGTTTATTTTTTATGTAATAAATTAATTTAGATTGTTCATATTGTTTTATTTGTTTAAGATTTAAAAGTGGCACTTGTTTATATAACTGCTTAGTAGGAGTTCCATAATTAATTGAAAAAATAATCTTTATCGCTTTGTTTTGTGCTCGTTGTAGCCGTTCCATCATGTATTGACTTGCAGTTCCCTAGCATGGTATTAAATATCTTAGGTGAGGCTCTATCATACTGTTATAGAGTAGATATTTTGTTGTGGTATTTAATTGATGAGCGCACCTTTTTATTGATCCGATTATCGGCGCAATTTTTTGTATAACATTTTCTATATGAATGTTCCATGTTAAATTATTTGTAATAATTAGCCCTAGATATTTATAGTTAGTAACTTCTTTTATATATACATTATTTAGTTTTACATTAATTTTACATGAGTTTTTACCTCGTTGATTTATTATCATATAAACAGTCTTATCAGTATTTACAGTCAGTTTGTTAAAGCACAGCCATTTAAAATATTTGTTTAGATCACAGTTCAAGGTAGTTTCTAACGCATCACATGACTCTTCAGCACGAACAAGTACAGTGTCATCTGCAAACATGAAATACTCAAGTCCAGCAAAATTCAAACTATGTACATATAGAAGGTATTGTAAAGGTCCCAACACTGACCCCTGTGCAACCCCCACTCTTGAATATTGTTCATCACTGCATGTGTCATTTACGATTGTGGTGTTTTTTCGATTAGTAGAGTAGGATTTTAACAAGTCATGACACACTCCACGGAAACCCATTTTTGAGAGTTTATGCAGCATCAGATTTATATCTACCGTATCGAACGCTTTTTTTAATTCAATAAACACTGTGGCCACATATTTGTTTTGATTGAGTTGTTCACTTATATATTATAGTAGATCTACAGTTGCTCCAAGTGTATTGCTGTTTTTCTGGAAACCATACTGTTTCATATCAAATTTAAATGTTTTTTCTATAAAGTTGATCAGACGGTTCTTGATAATTTTTTCTAGAATCTTGGATAACGTATAGTGTAATTGGTCTATAATTGCCAATATCTGTTTGGGGGCCTTTCTTGTAGATGGGTATTATTTTTCCAATTTTTAATTCTTCTGGGTATATACCAGTTTCTAGGGCATCATTTATCAGTTTAATTAAAGGGTTTTCAATAATACTAAAACAAGTTATTAGGTCACTCTTAGTTATGCCATCATCTCCTGGTGCACTAAAGCTTTTTAAATTTATTATTACAGATTTCAGTTCTGAATGAGTTGTAGGCTCAAGAAAAATTGATTCTGACACTTCTTCTTCTGTAAATCTTCCATCTGGAACATGTTTAATCTGTGCAGCTAACTGTTGGCCTATGGTTGAGAAATATTTATTAAAAGCATTTGCTTTCTCCTTAGCATTGTCCAAGATCTCTCCACTTTCGTCTTTCAGATTTCTTATTTTTTGTATAGCTTGAGTTTTTCTTCCACCAATTTCATTTATTGTATTCCATATTTTTCTATAATTTCCATCCGCTTCCTTAAATCGTTTTTCTGCATAGGATTTTTGTAGGGCTTTTCTTAGGTTATTCAGTGCATTTCTAGCCATTGTAAATTTTTCCTTGTGAAATTGTTTGGGACTTTTTTCCATCTAACATATAGCTTATCTCTTTCCTTTATCATTTTAATGTACTCTGTTGTTACCCAGTGGTTGTTTTCTTTATATTTTATTTTGTGGTCTTTAGTGCATTGTTGTTTTGTTGTTTTAATTGTATCAGCAAGTTCTTTGAACGTCGAAATCTCCTCCTTTTCTATTTTGTCTTGAAGCGCTGTTAGCCATGACTCGGTATTAAGTGATTTTCTGGATATTTTTTCTTTTTTTCTTTCACACACTTTTTTCTTGATTTTTACATATATCGTTTTATGGTCTGATATGCAATGGTCTTTAATAGTAATGTTACAGTCTATGTTCTGGGTTGTTATTATATGATCAAGTATAGACGCTGTTTTTTCTGTCACTCTAGTAGCATTTTCTTTGGAAATTTTGTTCTGTATTTGGTATCCATTTATTTCTATTAAGCTCGTGTAATCTCATTCTGCTTGGGAGTTTTTTAGAAGATCCAAATTTATGTCGCCAACCACTATGCACTCTTCTTTCTGTCTTTCCAGTATATCATCAAGTTTAGTTATATAGTTTTGGATTTTATTTTGAGGTGGCCTATATATACCATAAATGTTCAGTTTTTGATCAGGTAAATAAATAGATGCACTATTACAGTCTTCCGGTAGTAGACTCTTAATATCATTTTGAATGTAGTGTAAGTCATCACACCGTCATTGAATAAGGTATAGGTTTTTCAGAATGTCCTAAGAAAACTGCTTAACCCACAAGCAGTTTTCTTTCACATCATTTGGGGGGATTTCGGTCACACAAAACACCCACTCTTTAAATCGCAGCTGCTTCTTAAACAACTTTTTTTCAAAAAAAAATGTTATTTTTATTTTCGTATATTGTATTTATTATTAAACAGTGTGTTTTTAATAATATAACATAATATATTAAATCTAACTATATTGAAAACTTAACTAAAGGAAAACATTCCAAAAATCGAATTTCCGCAGAATTTTACCCTTGTAGTTATAGCCTGCTGGAGGAAAAATCCAGAACTGCTTTTAATAAATGCTTATAAAGAAACCTGTTATTTTTAAGCTGTTATTTTAAGCTGTTTTTTATAAATAACTATAACAGTTTCAACTGTTATCTAAAAATAACAGTTTTGCCCATCACTATTAGATGGTAAAGGATACAGTGTGCGAGGACTCAATAGGAAGGACTAGATCAACTTATAAAGAATGTGGAAGCGCTGCTAAAAAAAAGAAAATTAACCAGCGTTCAAAAATTAATAATTCTGTCCAGACATTAAGGAAATTTACTGGAATATGGCCCTGTTATTTAGAATCACCAATTTAAATAATATTTCATTTAAATTTATTGCGGATTTTAAAATAATTCTTTTGGTAAATGGTTTACAGACTACCTCATCATCGTTTCCATGTCCCTATGGTCTTATTTGCCTGCAGGAACTTAGGAAAGCTGAGAAATTTCCTGATAATGAGGCTAGAACTTATCGAAACCTGAAAGAGAGCCACCAAAAATACGTTAATGTATTAGAAAGTCAACCAAAAAGAGCCAAAGAATGCTTTAGCACTGTGCATGCGCCACTTTTTAATGAAAATGCTATGCTATGCCCGTGTTAAAGAAATGCATCTTCTTCAGGGTTTTGTGAACCACCTGTTTTGGAAGGGTTTGGTTCCTCTCCTTGGTAGAGATAATGCACTGAAATGGCTAAAGAATTTAAATGTTGTACCTAAAAACTATCAAGGAGAGATTTTTGAAGGTAATGCATGTCGAAAGCTGCTTCAAAATGCAGATAAACTTAACTCCCCGGAAGTTTTGGGAAATATTGATAAAATATATGTCTAACCATTCATATCAGCCATGAATATTATGAACAGAATTGTCAATAACTGTTTTTCTATCCAAGTTAAAAACATTGACAATTTGAAATTGGATATTCAGTTACTGCGTTGAGTTTATAGACACACCAATGTCTCTATTAGTTTAAAAGTACACTGTATCTTTTACCATCTAATTGATTCATTGGATGACCTTTAATCAGGTTTAGGATTATGTTCGGAACAGGCTGGTGAGTCCTTACATCGTGAATTTTTAAAAACATGGAATAAGTACAAGCTGAACAGCATCCATGATAAGCGATATGGGCAGCATTTATTAAAAGCAGTTCTGGATTTTCCTCCAGCAGGCTAGTATAACTACAAGGATAAAATTCTGCGGAAATTCTATTTTTGGTATCTTTTCCTTTAGTTAAGTTTTCAATGTAGTTAGAATTTAATATATTATGTTATATTATTAAAACACCACTGTTTAATAATAAATACAATATACGAAAATAAAAATAAATTATTTTTTGAAAAAAAGTTGTTTAAGAAGCAGCTGCGATTTAAAGAGTGGGTGTTTTGTGTGACTGAAAGCCCCCCAAATGATAACCCACAAGCAGTTTTTTAGGACATTCTGAAAAACCTATACCTTATTCAATGACGGTATGTCATCTTTTATATAATTGGCGGCATGAGGTTTTTTTTTTTATAAGAATGATGGTAATGAAAATTTTATATTTTATTAAGTTATATCGTTATATAAAGTTTAAAAAATATGATGTTAATCAAAATTAATAAGAACCATCTATCAAAGTATGAAATTGAAATTATATTACCATAGAAACGCCTTCTGATTTTTAGGACTTAAAAATTTGAACCATAATATTATCATGTTTTTTTTTAATTCTCTCTAAAACTGTATGGAGATTGGGAAAAATATAAACAGGATTAACCATTTTAGAATAAGCAAACATTTTTTATGAAGAAAGCCTTTTCGTCTAAATGTCAATAATAATAAAAGTGTTTTCTCTTGTAAAGACAATCCGGGGACATACTGTAGACTATCAATACTCGCCGATAGGTGTCTCTCTGTTAAAATTACATGTACATTATGGCTGGCATGCCAGTCGTTGGCATCAGTCGACTATAATAATTATATGGCAGACTTAGGCAGTCCTCATCGCACTCTTTGGCAGTTAGCAAGTTTTGGCAACCCCATATTTTGGCAGTACATGTAAATTTTTCCTCAAGTTAGACACCCCTCAAACTCACCTATGTGTATTATTTATTCAAAACCTGTTCTGCGTACAGATTTTTTGATCTCTATAATCATAATCAAAAATAATACATTATTTATTTGGAAGATTCTGAATGCCCATCTAGTAAAACTATACAGGGTGGTCCGAACTGTATTCCGGAAACATCGGCAGTATGTAAGTATGTATGTCCTAAAATGCTTATAGTTTCAGAGATACATAGTGTAGAAGTTTCATTTTTATTTCGATTTTTCCAAAATAAATTCTGCAGTAACGTCAAAATTTGGATGAAAATTGGTTTTTAGGAGTTTTTTGATATGAGAAATTTGATGTTGATGTCAATATGACATCGACTGGTAGAGGGCGCCACCTACGTGTGTTTTAACTGTTTTGAAGCTTAATAACTTTTTGTCCGTACCTGTATAAAACTACAGAGGTAAAAAAATATACATCTATGACTTTTTACGTAAAAAATATCTCTTTGTAAAAATCGCTACGAGCAACCGTTCTCAAGATATTTAGAATGGAAATAGTCAATACATGTCATTATTGACGAAAAATAAACATGTTGAGTAGATAGTTATTTCCAGAAATAATAAATTTGGGAATTTTTTTTTTAAATTAATCTTTTCTCTTCAAATAATGATAATAAAAGAGTTTCTGTTGAACTTTTGACACAAAAAGTTTCAAATTTATGATCTCAGTCTAATAACTATTTACTCATCATGTTTAATTTATGTCAATGATGACAGGTATTGATAATTTCGATAATTTCGATTCAAATATCTCGAAAACCAATATTCGTAGCGATTTTTACCAAGAGACATTTTTTACTTAAAAAACATTGTAAATGTATACTTTTTTACTCAGTAGTTTTATACAGGTGCGGACGAAAAGTTATTACTCTTCAAACCAATTAAAAAATATGTAGGTGGCGCCCTTTTCTAATAGGAGTTATATTGACATCAAAATCAAATTTCTCATGTCAAAAAAATCCCAGACACCAATTTTTATCCAAATATTAAAGTTACTACAGAAATTATTTGGAAAAAATCGAAATAAAAATGAAACTTCTACACCCTGTATCTCCGAAACTAAGCATTTTAGGACATATATTTCTACGAACTTTTTTACTAATTTTTATCTGCAGAATATGCTGCTAAAGTTTCCGGAATACAGTTCGGACCACCCTGTATAATAATGTAACACATAAAATATAGATTACTGATATAAGGATATAATACAGACATTTATTCTTATTATTAAGAAAACATACCGAATGTCAGGACAGTAAAAATATAAGAGCTAGATAACTTTCTACTAATTGAATGGCAATCGTTTTCTTTGCTAATTTCCTTTATCTCCGCCGACTCCTTCTATTAAGCGGTACGCTCCCCTATCCGGCGGGAAGAAGTATCATCAGCGGGAATCCCCTCTAGCAATTTTCCTTACGGTTTGGGGTCGTCGTCTGTTGACAACGGGGCTTACCTAATGATGTAGCCGAAAATAACGCGTCGACTGCCCTTGATGAATCGGAACGAGCGCCAAATGGATTGCCGGAACGTTGAACAAAATTAAACTAGTGGGCTATTTGTTGAGCTGTAGAAATAATTTATTGTTTCATGCTTGATATTTGGTTCTTTTGTTTTATTACAAGCTTTTATTTAATCTGCTAATGTACACTCAGAAAAAAATGCATTGTAAAATGCACAATAAATCACGTTAAAATAATTAACTCGTTCTGTGGAATTCGATTTACCTAATTATTTGTTTCATAAACGATTACTGATAATATAATATTGTTTTCTATACATAATAAAAATTAAAGCATTCGAAATAAAGTGAATACTATTTTATCGGATATCTAATATTTAGTCCTTTTAAAGTAATTATA